CCCCTGTAGCTATCGAAGAGGAAATTCAGAGTTTTCTGTGGAATATATTATTAGAACTCAGTTAAGCTTGGTGCACCGCCACACGCACCGCCACGTTCGCCAGACTTTCCCCTACCCCCTTCGTACTCCGCGAAAACCATAGAACTTCTGGTTTCTAACCACACCAATTTTCCTTTTGATATCAGAAGGAGTTTGGCCCGGGGAAGGACAAAACCTTCTACCAAAGTTGATACCACTTTTCCGTGCAGCGGGCTTGTGGAGTGTTCGCTGATAAGCAGTGTTCCCAAGCGTCCAGTCCGTCGGTCCTTAGCTTTGGACAGGACGGACACCGGTTTCTGGAACTCTGCACTGGACGGACGCCCGTCCTGTGGTCCGTCCTAACCACTACCCGGGACGGTTGGAAACACTGCTGATAAGTGTGCCGGACGACGCATGATATGAATACTTAGGGGATCTAAAACAGTTTAGTATAAATAATGTATAAGGGGTGACAAGAAGCAGCTTACCCTTCCTCCTCCAAGTCGTCATGTAAAAGTTTTTTCCATCCAAGAAATGATGGCATGATCCCAATAGCCGGATATAGGGGAGACTGTATAGTGTTTATGAGATGTATGGAGGAGCATGGATGTATGTGTTAGGGCTATGGGTCTCTAGTTAGTCGGTGGGACTATATTGTGTGCTGTTAGGGGAACCAGCCCTGTTAGTGGTGGCTTCCTCTCTTGTTCTGTATTTAGTCTTCTTTCGGACCTTCTGATTGACGACAAGAACGGCCTCTATAACAGGTCAGTGTTCCCAACCGTCCCGGGCGCCCTACAGGGCCCTGGCGGGCTTGTAGTCCAGGGCGTCCCGGGCGTGGTGGGCCAGGACGGCAGGGCCTGGCGTCCGTCTTGATAAAGACTGCCGTCCGAGGGGTTGACGCCCGGGCCCGGGGGTCTTAATACAAATGGCATCTTCCAGCCGTCCTCACCAGGGCCCGGCCGTAATCTGTAGGGCCCGGCCGCCATTTGCAGGGCCCGGCCGTCATCTGCAGGTCTATTTGCAGGTGAGACACCTATAGGGCCCGGCCGGCCGTCCCGGGCAGAGGTTAGGACGGACCACAGAACGGGCGTCCGTCCAGGGCAGAGTTCCAGGAACCGGCGTCCGTCCCGTCCGAAGCTAAGGACGGACGGACTGGACGTTTGGGAACACTGTAAGAGGTTTGAAAAAGAAAAGAAAAAAACCATGGGTAGCAGTGTAGGGGAGCTGATAGTCTATAAGAGAGCCTGGGAAAGGTCTGAAGGGAATAGCACACACCAGTCAGATTTCTCCTCTATGCACCAAATCGAAGTAGATAGGCGGTGTAGTGGGGAAGAAGTGGGAAGACAAGGGTGAGTAAAGAGGGGTGTGGTAGGGACTGTAGAGGTGGGAGGTTGGAGTGGTAGAAGGTTGTGACTGGCATGTGGAAAGAAGCCATGAATTACCCAGTATTCTGAGCACTACACCACTTTGGAGCTAGGCGGTTTTTCCGATCACACTTCCTCCGATAAGCTACCGGTACCTTATTAACTCAATATATTTAATATCTCTGTGTAGGGCCCTAATATCCATTTTTGAACAAAGGCTCCCTAGAAAGCTAAGTAGTGAACAAAAGGGGAATAGAAAGATCGCTTCAGCAGCTCTCAACCCCCTGCAAACCCACTGGTAGCTCAGCAGAAGTGCTCATTTCCGCACCCAATTGCTGTTTTCACTTCGTTGGAGCGTGGAGGCTTCAACTCATGCACCCCCGGTACTGGAGCACAGAGCTCTAAGTTCTGCAGTTAAGTGATAATGATCGCAATCTTGCTGGAGGGCTGGTGGCTGCTGCACCATGCTGGACAGTGGGGTGAGTATATTAACCACCATACTCCCGATAAATGCCAAGATCTGCACCGACACCTGGTGTCTTATAGTAAGGTTTAAACCATCCACCTATCCCCCTCCCTCCCACCTCATCTCCACTCCTCTTCTCACGTACCCGCCCATCCCTATTCTCACTCCTCCGAACGCGTTAAACACATCCTGCACGTTAAATACAACTACCGTACCACAAGTGACTCATTCCTCCAGGGAGGTATTTACGATCCCTAGAAAGGCGCCGGGTTTTGCAACCATTAACGGCCGCCTCACCCAAGTACTAGCCAATGTCGCCACCACGATCCGCTCCCATGCCCACTCCCGGCGAAGACAGGAGAACCAGGTCAGTGTCCCGGGGTCTCAAGACAAGGAGAGGCGGGAATCAGCACGGGCGTCATTCCACGCCGGCGATCTTGACACCGCAATTGTGGCGGACACTCATGTGAGGTGTTTTAGGGCGACATTGAAAGCACGCGGGCTGGGCACCACGGGGTGTGACAGACAGACATCCTACGCCACCGACATTGACACCACCATGGGGTGTGGCCTACACTCATGTTGTTAATGTGGATAGCAACGGATGGCCTGTCATGCAGCGGAAAAAACTAAATGAATATGTGGAGAACTGTGGTAGGAGAGGAGTAAGAATAAGGTAAGGTAAAAATACAACTTCTTTCACTCTCTAACAAACTAACAGTAAAGACAGCAGTATAAGTAAAACATAAACAATGAATCCTGATCCTTCCATCGATCACCACACCTTTCACTATCTCTCCATGCAAACTGCACTTTCCTCCATATGCTTCCATCCATATGCTTCCATGATAACAAAGGAAAGACATGTCAGACGAAACTCTCCCATCAATCTCTGAACCTCCACACTAATCCATGAAACATCTAAACTTGCTCCCACACTACCGGACGTTCCACAATCAGTCCCCATCCAGCCACATCCATCTAGAACCTTCAACACATGTGAGGTATTTAGGCGACGTTAAAAGCATGTGAGCTTGACATCACCATGGCCTCGAACTCGCCGCCCAAGAGGGGTTGTTGCCGGGGGGTATGCGCTCTTCTCAAACAGGTTGTAGGGGGACTGGGGGAGGTGGGGGCGAGAAGTAGCGGTTGGAGGGGGGCCAAGCTCGCGATGCGATGAATATTGGTCTGGAGGTAGATATCCTGGGACATCAAGTTCCGCAGTATAATCCCCCAAATAGCTCTCGGAGAGAGGTTGCAGGAGTATGAAGTGCTACGTGCCGGCGGGGGAGAGTATGTGCAAGAGTGGAGAGGTGCCTCATTTCAGGATAAATTGGTGCGGGCTGGTGACCAGTGGTTGAAGTGGAGAGTCGAAGAGTTCAAAATTCGGGAGTATGCATGGGCCTATTTGACCGATTATTATTTTCCTACTGACCTCATCGTAGAACCGAGTTACAAACCATTTCTCTCGTTTGAGAAAATGTCTTTACAACGAGACCAAGTTACACCAACGAATGAAGATGGAAGCAAAGAGAGGGCGTCTAAAAAAAGGAGAAGGTCGAATGTACCTAATTATCCTCTGCTACTTGACTTACTGGCTGACTGCCTATGTATCTGGAGGTCTATTGGTTCAGTATCCGAAGGTCCCGAAGGGGGTAAAGAGCATGGCCACCTCAAGCATTTTGAGTCGAGGTTGTGCTTGGTTTATATAAACACTATTTATTCCGTAATGGGGATGACGAGCTAACGATGAAAGTTATGCCTCTGAACTCCCGAAGGGATGCAAAGCAATGAACAGAAAATGCGGGGATCAATTAGCCTATTTAGCTGCTCAAAACAATAAGGATGCATCTAGCTTAAGTAAGGATAAACGGAAGCTTAAGAAGAAAGCGCCAGGATTCACTCGCTCCATCACTGCTCCGGCTGCTACTACTGGCACCAGAGAGGCAGGTGGGGATACTTTGGCTGCGCTTGTCACAGCTGATGCAGCATCTGTATCAAAAGCCAACATTCATGGAGGAATCTTGAATCCCAAGGGTTTTGTCAAAAGACAAGTGGAGATCAGCTCGAAAGTGGATGTGATCGATACCTAGAAAAGGTTGAACTGTATTGCAGTTGCAGCTGATATTGTTGAGGATGTTAAAAAGCGACATACAGCTGGCTCCAATAGAAGTATAACACCTTTGACCTTGAAGGTTATTCCTTCCGCTAACCCTCTGCAAGGGCCAAGAGGTGTTCCCGGAAATCCTTGTAGCAAATTTCCAAGCCATAGCGGCCCCGGAGGGGAGGAGGACAACAAAGCCCTAACCAAACCTTCCACCTCTACTCGAGGATGAGAGTGATGCCGCACCACCACGGGATGACTTACCCGAAGTCGCAAATTCGGAAACACGATTCGGTGTTGCAAGTACGCCGGTCCGCCCCTTACCAAGACGATAGATGATAGAAGAAGACGATGTCCCATCTAGCAGCCCCTCCCTTTGAGGCACCGTTCGCTACTCCGGCACGCAACAGCGTGCTCTACCGTTCCCTTTCAGGCTCTGTATTGGGCTCTAAACCAGGACCGACCCCTAGGTCCTCGCCCAATGGCGGTGTCAAATTGTTTGGTTCCATTCGCGAAACCCGAACTCTACCGGTAGGGACTTCTGGTGGAGATGAGGAAATCTTCATATATGATAGATAGTTTGGGGTGGAATGATGATTATGAACTGTGATGTATGATTCGTCAATTGCAGTTATGGATGGCAGGTCCAAATGCACTGTATTTGGAGTTTCCATGTTTTCTTCTTCTTCTCTGTACAATGTCATTAGAGAGCACTGTCAAGAATAGCCAACACTTGTATACACGGTAGCGCAGATGCTGGTGGCCTGAAATATCTCATCATATTTGGGGGAGTGGCCGGTGCAACACAAGATTCGTACCATGCTTATTTTGGAATTGGGTTTCACGGCGTACCTAACTATTGAAAGTTCTTAGTACTATCATGATATCTCTGTTATTGCTTGTAGTGAGGATGATATAAGGAGTTAAAAATTTATAGAAAATTTGTGGCTAGGACCGTCCGGTCAACACTACTCCAGTTTTATATAACCCATAATTTTAGTTCAGCAAATACCCAACCGGCATCATATGAACAATTGCGCACTCGGGAGCTGTCTGAAATTGATTGTCTGATACGGAGAGGCTGCCCGGTAGTATCATCTTTTTAGCTATGGATGGGTGACAGCTCTAAAAGCTCACTAACTGGGCATAGTATGAAACTATGGTACAAGGACAATGCTCCTAGGCAAGCAAAATAATGATGGCAAAATAGCACTCAACAGCATTGCACACCCCCTCGCTTCTCATACTAAATAATCCAGTTGTTCACCATCCTAGTCAAAAATTCAAGCAAATCAAGTTGCTCTCTGAGGCCACGCTTATCCCATCCATCTTTATCATTGTTTGCCCCCGAACCCACAGCCTGGTCAAAGATTTTTCTCAGCTTCGTATTCTCCTATTTCTCCTATGTCGCGATGCGGCACTCATCAGTATCCCCAAATGCCAAAGGCTCTGGTTGTTCCTACATGTCTTCTCCCTGTAGTATTCGAGGATAGGTGTCTTCCCAAGCTGGTACAGTGGTAATACACTCCCAATCGACGATCCCGGTTATCTCTAGTGTTGTGTGGTCAACCATGACATTTGAATGATTGAGGTCGTGGTGACGCAGCACGGATTCCTTTGTTTGCATGTGGTTGGAGAAAAGGGAAGTGAGAATTTCCTGAAGCCATCGGATGGTATCCTCAATCACGGGCACATCCGCGGCAAGATCATCTTCATCACTCTCTGAATCTTCTTCATTCGAATGCACCTTTTGAACGCCGGCCGCACGTTTATCTAACATGTCGTTACTTCACTGTAGCCAATCCAATTAGATTTATCATACTTACTAGAAATCAGTTTTAGGAGAAGTTTTTTATCTTCCAGTTCCACTTTCATCAATGCAGGTAAGTATTCTCGGTCGCTTCGATAAGGCCCACGATCCCTCTTTATCAGTGGCTTCCTCTTTCCAGCGAAAATAAAAGAGTTTACTATCGGCCCGATCACAAAATCGTTGTTATCAGTAGCCACAGCGACCCTCAAGTCCGCTTCGCTGAGCTCGGCATGCTGATACAAACTCCCGATGGCATCAAATCTGCACTTCCCACGGAGTTCCTTCGAGAATTGGCCCTAGCGCTCAACAAGAATTGTCTTCCTCGCGAGGCTCAGATCGCGCCAGACCTCGCTCAGGCATACTCCTGGGATTTTCGCCATAATGATCCATTCGAAACCCAACTCATTTTCCGTGGTGCAACTGTAGGCGAATACCTCTGGAACTGGTAGTGAGGTACATTGCCGCAATAGTCGGAGAGTGGCAACCTCGCTGACAATCTTGTAGAACGGTTCGACCGGGAGCGTTGCGCGGAAGATGTAGGACTTCGGGTCCTTGATTGTGTTCGAGGAGACCGGGATTGAATAGACTTTGTTAAACGCCCCCCCCGCGAGGAATTTTACGGAAAGGTCATCCGCACGAAGGTTTTGTCGTGACAGTGCCTCGATTGTGGCAATGCTCGGGGTTGCCGCCCAAGCTGGCACAGGACCAAAAAGGTTGGATTTCCAATGAAGGCCGAAGGCTGGCGAAGGCTGATGGGGGTGTGTCGGTGCCGTTTGTTGTTGGTGACAGTGAGCTAATGAAGTAGTGAGGAGGTTGTTGAGATGGGAACGTAGTGTATCGAAAGAAGCTGACCTGAATCTTACGTAGGGGTATGTTTGGATACGACCGTTCTCGTCCGTTCTGTTCCATTCCCCATACTCGTGCCAAGGCTGGGGCATGCTTCCACAGCCTTGGCACGAGTACAAACTTTCTTGCCCTTTCGTTTCATAATGGTCGTTTTGTATGCGAAAATGGAACAATCTCCAGCGGTTCCGTTCCCGCCAAACAGAGCCTTTGCCAAAAGACTCCGGACGTGAGGCAAATGAGGTTCTAGACCCACCAGATTGCTACGAGTAGGATTTGACTCTGGATGCGAAATCGTAAAGTCCCTATTGTTAATCGTTCTACCGCATTACCGGAAACTCGGAAAATTGAGTATCTCCGGACAGGGTTCCAATCTCCGCACCAACAAAATTAACCCCCAGAGAGCCTAGTACTGTACTAAACAAAAAAAGAATGGAGAAATTCTAAAAACCCCTACTACCATGCTGTACTAGTACAAGGCTATTAAACTAAGGTGGACACCATTACCCTATTCCTCTTTTGCCCAATACTAGGCTTTATTAGGGTCTTAACGTCTTAACATGGTGATTGGAACCCTGTCCGGAGATACTCAAGTTTTTGAGTTAATGCGGTATCCTCATTGATATTGTCAAGGATGTGATATTATTTCCACCTATCACTTCACCCACATTGATATCACAAAGGACGCGATAGTACCCGTAATGTCCTGACATTTGTGAATACAGCTGCGATTGCATAAGTACAAACAATCGGTTGGAGCCTCAAGACTTTGGTGGTATGCAATAGCGGTCGTGTTCACAAACGTCAGAAATTACGAGTACCAGTGTGGAGGCTTCTCCTAAGCCTCCCTATATTGGATGGTGTGCCCGACCGAGTAGAGCCCCCCGTATTATCCCGTGAATGCTCCTGCAGATAGGTTGAGGCTTAACGGAATGCAGAAGTGCTCCAATGATATGCTGTATAATGTCAAAGATAGGAAGAAGCAAAAATATATAAAATAAAAGGTGATTTTCTATAGGGGTGGGGTGGTTGTTTTTCCTCTCTCCTCCTCCGTGGTTGTCATCTAGTCTAAGGACAAAAATGAAGTCACACCTCCACTGTGCAGAACTGTGCCCTAAGCTATCCTCCTAACCTGCCTAGTTTCGCGCAAACAAATACCACTGCAAACACCATCTCCAGAGCCTAAAACCTATACCCCCTTCACACCGGTATTAAGGCGGAAGCGCTATCTTGAGTTTATACCCTCCATAACGCTCAGTTCTCTCTACTACTGACATATCTGTCGGAATTCCTATATCTTATTCACTATGGGGAATGGACAAGAAGCACTCCGAGATTTCATCAACGATATTCTGGATTCAAAACTGACGAGATTTCCAGAGAGTCGGGGAAAGATTTACTCTGATCGAGACTTCCACCTGGATATACACAGTGTTCCCAACCGTCCCGGGCGCCCTACAGGGCCCTGGCGGGCTTGCAGTCCGGGCGTCCCGGGCATGGTGGGTAAGGACGGCAGGGCATGGCGTCCGTCTTTGATAAAGACCGCCGTCCGAGGGGTTGACGCCCGGGCCCGGGAGTCCTAATACAAATAGCATCTTCTAGCCGTCCTCACCGGGGACCGGCCGTCATCTGCAGGGCCGGACCGTCATTCGCAGGGCCCGGCCGTCATCTGTAGGGCCCAGCTCTCATCCGCAGGGCCATTTGCAGGTGAGACACCTATAGGGCCCAGCCGGCCATCTGGGTAGTGGTTAGGACTGACCACAGGATAGGCGTCCATCCAGGGCAGAGCCCCAGAAACCGGTGTCCGTCCCGTCCGAAGCCAAGGGCGGGCGGACTGGACACTTGGGAACACTGGATATACAATGCGTAAGTAACCTGAAGGAAGGGCTGTGAGTAGCTTTCGTTACAAGTCCCTGTTTTTGAGGAGCAGGAACAAAATAACCTAGGTTATTCTGATTAACTGTGGAAAAAATTGTCTAATTTAGACGATTGTTTTAATCTGGAGTTAATAGCCTTCTCTTGATGCCCCGTTTGTCAGAAACTGAGTCCGGTAACGAACGCTAGCTGTGAGCGGAGAATGCTGATGACCAAATAGAAGACTTCGAATGGCGAATACAACCTCCAAATTCAAATCAACACGAGGACGACAATTACAAGTCTTAAGTCTTCGGCTCCACAAACGGTGGCTGGGCCAGTTCTTGCTACGGGTACCGAATCTGCTAGTCTGATTCGGAACAACTTCATCGCCCGTATGAAGATCTGACTTTTTTGGACTTGTTCCTTGCTTTATCCCACGGGGGTTTTTGGACCGGGGCTGCTGTCAGATAGTGCAGGGGCCTGAGGGGTTGGGAGAAGGAGAAGTTTTGATTTTTGGTTACGGTAGTGGTTAGGCCGTCTGCACTAGGCCAGGCCGTCCAGGTATGAGGCAATGAACTAGGCACTCTTGTCAAGGAAAATGGGCGGACTTGACGGACTTGCCTGGCCTGTGTATGGCCTACTGGAATTTGTCGGCGGTTGATAAGAGGATATTGTGAGTGCTGGTAGTAGACTTCACAAGGGTTGCTAGTTTCTCGGTTATTCCACCTTCACTTTTTTTTATTTGTTTGGTGGGGATGTTGACGTTCATGAAGGCGCTATTGTGTGGGACTTGGCTGGTCTGAGTGAGTGCCTGTGACGATGAACGGTGGTGTTTGGTTATGTTTTGTGTAATTTTGTGTTGTTTTTGATTTTGATTTTGATAGTTTTGTGTTGGGTTGCGAGAATGGATATGCCGGCGGTTGTGTTTCGCTAGCAGATGCCGGATAGGTTTAGCTAGGATAAATTTAAAGAATTTATAATCCCTGTGTTCAGGTTCTACTTGTACTGTACGCCGGGGGGTATGTCTAGTTGGACGACACCCATGTACTGTATGGGAACAAAGTTTTTTACATACAGGCAAACGTGTTTTTTTGGCGTCTTTTGTATCTGAGAAAAAAAGTTGGGCGACACCTGGAATAGGCTGAGACACCCTGGATAGGTTGGTAAACTCTTAGATTTGTGCTTCAGCGCCCCACTTAACCTTGCACATGCCAGGGACTTGTGCGGTGAGCATAAGTTAATATCAAATTTATTATGAACTACTCTATTCGAGCTTCGCCATAACATAAGTCTATCGAATGGAAAAGGTAAATTACTATGTGTGTAACCGCCTTTTTGGTTTTTATGCAGCTACTGGGCTAAGATACGCGGAAAAGTCTCTCCACCGCACTCCTCCGGATGTTGGTCACACACCTCGTCCCTTCGTTTGATTTCACGACTTCATCCGGCTTTAGTGATAGCAAGGCTAAGCAAGCCACGATACCAGACCGGGTATTCCTCAAACCACAATCCCTTACCTTGCTGCCGAAATTCAAAGCTGTATAGCGCTAGTGATTCTTGGCCGACAGGTAGGATTTTTCCACTGGGATGGGGATGTGTGTCGTCCTGGAGAGTACACAGACAATCTCGTTTCTGTCATGGGATTTGCTGATCGGTACTTAAGGTGGTGTTGGGCTCAGAATGCGCAAACCAAGTACCTCTCAGCATGGCCATGATCAGAGTAAGATCCTCTGCGCACATTCAATCATAAATGCCCCAATAGGCTAGCACTCAAGAGTCTACTATCCTCATTTCTTCCTGGGTGATACCCATCTCCACTTACTGCTACCCTCTGGTGTTTGCTGATCCCTGTGCTAATGCAACGCTAAAAAACGATGAAATTCGGTATCAAACGATGGGATACTTGGTTGGCTGAGAATAGTGGTCAATATCTAATACAAACTCGCAACTCATATTTTCGAATACTCTTCTTGCCTGGGACGAGTACCTGTGCTGGTAACTGAAAGGCGAAGACCGGAGTATATATAAATTACTATGAGGTCATCCCTCTTTACTTCCATCGATCACCACACATATCCACTCTCCTCTATACATGTCTCCCTCTCCCTTGCGTACCGGTACTCCCGTACTATCAAAGGAGAGACATGCTTCCCATCATTCACAGCCTCCACCTATCTGGCGCTCCTAGATTCCTTCCGACCCTCCTAGTATCCGGCTACCGGATGCCTCAATCTTTTCAACGGTGATGACTAAAGTGACGAAGTACAGCGACCATTTCCCGGTACAAGATACGACTCCGATCGCATAGTATGACCCTGCATGAGTGGTAAGGTTCTCCTTTCGCACAACCTAGCTAACCAATGGCAAAGATAGGCGATTTCAGGTATAACAGGGCCACCCTCTGATCCTTCCAACCACCACCACACATACCCGTTCTTCGCCAGGTGTCTCTTTCCACTTTTGTATTCCTATGCTAATGTTAGAACTCATAGCTGCTCGATATGCTTTCTATGGTTGTGGTTATTCGTCGCTAGAAATCATGGAAGCCATCGGAAGGAAGGAACCTGGACTAGAGGCTAGGGTGGAAGCAGTGGGAACTGCTTGAGAAGCCTGTCCTTCTTTTGTAAGCTTGGGAGTACGGAAGAGGGAAGGTGGGAGTAGAATGGATATGTGTAGTGAC